AAAAAAAAAAAAAAAAAAAAAAAAAAAAAGGAAAATGAACAAGAGGAATCCTGTGCCGCCGGGATGCGGGAGGGGATAGTCCTGTGGCTGTGCAGCCTCCAGCCCCGCGCTCCCTCCTAACCCACTTTCCCAGGCGGAGCGAGGGAGGGAGGAGGAGGAGGAGGAGGAGAGAGGGAGAGAGGGAGGAGGGAGCCTTACTCGTGAGACGGAGCTCGGCACCACAGCGGCGGCGGGAGCGGAGGAAACCGCGCTCCCCATCCCTTCTCCCGCACCCCCAGCCCGCCCGCGGGGACACCGAACGCTCCCGGCCGGGGACACGGGGCTTGGGAAGGAATCAGGGCTTGGAAAACAGCGGGGGAAAGCCCCAAAGGAAAGCGGCGGAGGGAGAGGAACAGAGGGAAGGGGATGGGAGAGGAAGAGGAGGCTGGAGAAAGCGGGAGAAGGGGAGCGAGAGCGGGGAACTGGAGACGGAGGCAGAGAGAAGGCAGGAGCAGCCGGGAGCTGCTGCGCGGGAGGGAAGCACCGGGAATAGGGCACAGAGGACGGAAGAAGGTACAGCCAATATTCTCAAGATGAAATAGTGAGGAAAGCGGGTCTGTGGCCAAAAGTGCAAACAACTTGGCTAAGCGGCCTGAAGCCACACAACGCTAGCTGATTTTACAGAGCAKCATCCTTGGCAACTGCCTCCGCAACCTCAAACCTCGCTCCTTCCCTTCTCACACTTTCCTCTCGCCACATAAACAGTTGTACATCCCTCCCCTCCCACCTCTCCGCGCTCAGTCCTTCCCGCCCCCCAGCTCCTTTCCCAGGCTGGGAGCGGCGGAGCGCAGACAATGCCGGCATTGAGCTGTTGGCTGTGAATGCTCTGCCTGTGCTCCGAGCCCGCAGCTGAGCCCCGCGCCCGCCGGCAGCAGCGCTGCCCGCCCGGGAAAACGCTCCCGCGGCCGCAGCCGCACCGCAAAGACAAGGGACATTAAATTAATGCGAAGGAATAGGCCGTATGTTTTATTGCCGATGCCTGCCTGCCATTCCAGCGGCTCGGWCTCTGCCTGCGGGAGGGATCGGAACTGCTCGCAGGGATGCTCGGATGGTGTAACCCTTCTGAGACCGGAGCGCGGCGGGGCTGGGACGGGGAAGCAAAGAGGGAATGGGAGCTTCGAGAGGGCCCCAACAAAAGCCATGGGGTGATTCGGCTGAGACTTGCTGTCCTGTTATGGTCACAGTGCTCTGTGTGAGTGCAGGAAGGGAAAAAAAAAACCAGGTTTTGTGAGCTGCCTGCTTCACCTCCGTTCCTGCAGCCTTGTGGGATACAATGCACCCAAACTGAAGAGACATAAGGAATGTCACCATAAGAGGAATGGCCATGTGGGACCAGATCAAAGGTCCCTCTAACCCTTCCTCCTGTTTCCAAGCCGCCTAAAGCCAATGTCTAGGGAAGCTCACAAGCACAAGGCACGCATGCAGTGGTACTGCCCCAGGGCACTCATCTATTTCTAGTGATTTATGGCTAAGGCATGTCCCAGCCAGTGGCACTGCCTTTGTAGTTAATGGTATTTGAATGATTTTCTTCTTCCAGGAATACATCCAGWGCTTTCTGAACTCCTAGAAACTGGCCCCTGCAGCCTTGGCATGGAAAGGCCGCACTGTCTAGGAGTCCTTAAACAATCCCTGCAAGTGTTAAAGGGCCACAAATTAAGGCCTAAGGTCATGACACTGCCACTCCAGGGCCACGCCTGCAGCAGCAGGAAGAGATGAGAGCTTTGTATTCMAACCAAGGCGTGAGGCGAGTCAGACTTGGCAAGGACAGCACCAGAGGGGGAGAGGAATGAGGAGCTAAAGGGGTTAATCCACACACTCAGGGTTTCCAAGCAGAGAGAGATGCCACCCCACGAGGATATTGCTCTGGAGAAGACCACGCTGCTGACACCTGATTGCTGAGCAGTAACCAGTTCTCCAGGATGAAGGACAGGGCAAGGGACAGAGATGCATCAGGCTGCTGACATTCCAGAATGGGGGCATCACCAAAAGGAAGCCTCTGCACTCTCGTGGCAGACTTTGAGCACAGCCAGAAGACCCCGTCCCATATGAAGTTATGAATGAAAGAAATGCACCCCTCTTGCAAGTCCCTTTTACGAGGGTCTCCCAATTACATTTCATCAACATTTAGTAAGAGCTATTGTATGTTAATTAAATGCCCGTGGAGTAAGGAAAACATATTTGTCGAAGATTAACTATTATGCAATGCAGGAAGCATCTGCCACCCAACTGCTAGAGCTCACTAAATATTTCCTTATCTCAGAGTATTTACTTAGGAGGCAATAACTATCCAGTTAAATCTAAATTTAATGCTTAGTTAAATATAGTTCACAGAAAGTGGCACCAATATGTTTTATACAGAGAATGACAGAGGGGGCTTCAGGAAGGCAGAAGGAAGGAATGCTGTCTCCAGACTACAGCAGGAGCCTGATTCAAGGTGGGACTGCATGTGGCCATGCCTCCCCTCCAAAAGAGGCATACCACAGAGGACTCAGAGGCCCCTCTCTGCTGATATAGCARTACAGGGGATGACTTCATCATCTTACACATTTATACAACCCTCATTAGAACCACTGTAGCATAACTATTTAGTAATAATAATGATAATAGTAATAATAAACAGAGAGAGGAGGAAGAAATTCCCTTGAGGGTCTTGTAAACCTTGTGAAAAATAGAACAAAAACAAAACCTGAAGCTGATAGGTCTTATTTGCTTTTAGAAGCTTACAAAGGAAAAGGGAATGGGTTTCATAAGTGTAAAAGGCCAAACAAGCAGGAATCATACAAATCCTAGGAGAGCGCCTCACGAGTAAAATAAATCATGTTATTTTTGTATGCRTTCCCGGAAGAAATAACTCTCTGGTCCCATCTCCCCCTGCTGGAAGCAGATAACGAAACAGCAGATCTGGCTCCTAACTTTCCTAYCTTCTGAAAACTTGAGGAAAAATGCAGGAAAACAGTCATTGTATGGACACCACAAATCCATACTGGCATTTATCAATGCTTTTAATGCCATTTGTCAATACCCCCGGTAGGTGCAGGGCTGGCTGGATCAGCCTGACTGACCAAATTTTGTCACTATGCAGCTCAGGAACGGATGGAGCAGCATGAGCCCAGCCCTACACTACCACATCCCTCCTTGCCAGTGCAAAACACCTAAACCCTGTTCAAAGGGTCTAGAGCAGCACACTTTGATGAGCACAGGCTCCCAGAGACAGGACAGAAATATTTGGATGGCAGGTTCAGGAAGGTATCTGTGTTTCCATTCTAGGGATGCAGAATTTGTTTGTGGACAAGCTGGAAGGAAAACAGCAGCATGAGCTGAGGCAGCCTGGCTATCCCTGCTTTCCCAGGCTTTGAGGRGAATGGGCTGAAATCATCACAGAATGGACACCTAGGCCAGCTAAAGGAGAGAGCCTCCACRCTGATCCTGGATGGGCAGGAGATGTGCTGAAATGTGTCACGCCCTAGGACAGGTCACCTCTGCCTACCTGTGTGGCAGCTCTGCTTTTCAGATACTCGGGGACTGACATTGTGAAAGCCTGMATTGCCATCTGTTTTTCATGGAGAGCCAAGACTGAAAGCATGGACTCTGTCCACAGACAGGAGTGGGGTTTTTTGTGCATTTGAGGTGGTTAAATGCAAAGAGCCATCCACGAATTTCGCTCGGTGCCAACTGCAACAACCATCTGTGTGATGTGCATGGCTGCCCTCTAGGACTCACCACAAACAGCCACAGAATATGGAAATGTTCTCACTTGACTTTCATTCACTACCAGCCACACCAAAAACTGGCAACTCGATCCCAAATATTGCTGGAATCAGAGAAAAGCCATTTTTGAAAAATACCAGCAGAACTTCACACACCACACTCCAGACCCTATCATGACCAAACCAGCTGTTTTTATGGGACTGTGCAACAGCTCTGCCAGCAGAATCTGAGCACGTAGGGACTTTATTTGGGATCTCTGCAATGATGAGGGAAAACGTATGATGTTTTGTGAGCTATAACGTGTTTAGTCAAGATACACTGCTGCACTATGCAGCAGAGCCTGCTCAAAGCTCTCAGCCATGAAGAGAAAAYGCAATTTTGTCGCATTGGCAGAGGAGTTATGGAGAGGAACGAGAGAGCCAAAGGGGTTTCACCACATGAGGAGGAAGATTAAGGGACCGTGGAAGGATAGTGGTGATCTCTCCTTCCCTCTCTCCAATTCTGTACCTGCAGCCCCTACCTGCACACATTTCTGTTCTGATGTGCAAGGGTGGTATCCCCCTGTAATTAAGCAGTTAGTTCCATTCTCCTCTGGTCCTTGGGATACAGGGAGCCCACGAGAAGAAGAAAAGTAGGAAAGGCAAGGCTAGAGAGAGATGGAAAATCAAACTTATGAAGCATTTACTAAAGTAAGTAAAAAAATTCTGCATTTTGAGAAAAATACATGTATATGATTTTTATGAATACTTTGCAAATTAAACTGGCTTTTGATGCTGAAAAAAGAGGCAGTTTTGAGCCAAGGCTAACATCCAGACATGTAACACAACGAGACCACACTTCTTCTGAAGTAAGGAGCTCATTAGGTAGAAGAATTTACTGCGTGGAGAGCACTGAGCTAGGCCATAACTGCGGATGTTAACATGCATGCACAACACCTCTCTCTAAGCGTGGGCACTGAGCTGTAACACAATTCCCTCCTGTACAAGAAAAAGGGCTGATTTTCACCAATTTGTAACCTCGTTACTACGCAATCGATCTGGTTTCACAATTGATCTCCTTGGTGTGGACAATTTAGGGGTCAAGGGCCAGGTTCTCAATGGCTGTAAGATGACATATCACCCCCACTGTCAGAAG